AATCGTTCGTTCCGTTATCCAAAGTTTAATGTATTCTATGTATAACTAATATTAGAGGTACTTAATGAATATAACATTAATTGAAAAATGTTTCGTAAGCATGGTGGAGTAGGGAGGTATTAATTGTTGTAATATTTTTTGACGCTCTGTGTAAATATATATCTAGTTATTTTTAGTTTTATATTACTTTCTTTGTTAAGTAATATTTTATTAAAATTATAACATTTTATATGGTAAGAAGGTAATAGTGAACCTGGTCTGTATAAGCTTCTTTGTGGGTATTAAGCTTTAGGTATGACTATGAGAAATATGTGTAATACTTAAATCTGATGTACCTAATGTTATGTTTTGGTGGATTGTGATATTATACTCGGATTGGTTTTACTGATATTAACGTGTACAACACTGTATGACGGGTAGGTACATTGCGTCATTCTTCAGAAGGGGCCACTACTTACTAAGATAGTGATGAGACATGTAACAGGTCGGGAACAAAGTTTTTTTTAAGGTTTTCTACTCATATGGTAATGAAAAAATGTCGTGGTGGCCCGGAGGTTTCAGACGCCTGCGTCTCATGCATGAAGGCGCGGGTTTAAAACCTACCAACGTCAAATACTAATATGACTTTTCCGAGTTATATCTACTTTCTAAGATTATTTAAACACTACTGACAAACGGTAAAGGAAAACATCGTGAGGAAACCTGGGCTTATAATTTCTAATTTTAAGTTTGTAATCACCAACCCGCATTGAGCAAGCGTGTTGGTTAAATGCTCAAACCTTCTCGCGTGAGAAGAGACTTTTCTCAGTAGTGGGCACTTATAGGCTGTTGATGATGGCCAACATTCCGCTGCTCATCTGTCTGTCACCAGTTTTATCCCAAAGAACGTGTTAACATCCCTCCTTGACGTAGACAAATAATGTACGCATCAAGCAAAAGATCCATCCTCCCACGTTTAGTGTGAAGAAGTAGGTAGGGAACTTGATGTTTTTTAAATTTTCAGGATAGTATTATCTGTTAGGTACCATGTGTTTTTCGGAAAAGAAGTAAACTCGGAAAATATCAATAGAATGTAGCTAAATGGTAACAGTTTTAGTGTTAACTAAGCTCCTTTTAATCTGCGCAGGAGTACACATGTCAAAATTCTCAAAGTATAGGGCCGTAGACGTTATTGGGTACGTAGGGTATAAATCTATAACCATATAAAAAGCGCGATCTGGAAATCGATCACGAGTCTAGCAGATCACAATCTGTCATCGCACTAGTAACTACGATCAAAACATAATGGGTACAGTTTAAAATAATAAAAAAAGTGTCAAAGTTGTGAATTCAGAGTTTCTGCAAAAATATTTGTGCAATGGCAAAATAATTATGCATGAGTAGCTTCAATAAGCACTGAGTTATCACAAACTCATTAGAGACCGAACTGAACTGAATAGACCGAATTGACTCCTCTGAACCGACTGCTGTGACTGTGCGCTTCTTCACAGTCACATCAGTCAGTGCGTATAGGAGACGGCGGTCATCTTATACAAGTATCACATGCCCACGGAAGCAACTGCTGACAGCATTAAATATAATATGATAATAGGGATGGTGACAGGGTATGAAAATAAAAAATCTAATTATTCCGTCAGTTAGGTAATGAAAAAATATTAAACACGTAAGTATATTGTTATTTTGTCGTATAAGAAAACAATACTTAGATAAAACGAATCAAAGTTTAGGAGTGGGGGCTAAAACTTCATTTCTTTAGACGTCAATGTATCGTCGAAAATATTTGTTTCTGTAAGAAAATAAAAAATATGTGTCTAATGTTTTAAAATAATCTACTAGACGGACATTGAAATGAAAATTAGTTATCTACCATTACAATGTAGGTACTTCAAGTTTCACTAGAAGCCAAAGAACACACGTAAAGTTATTGAAAAGATCCATTAAAACTTGTCAATAGTCTGTTACTGAGAAGATTGCAATCTTACAGTGAGAATTAACAAGCATTTATTTATTTATGTCGAAAATATCTCGAAATAAGATATTTAAGACGCAATTTTTTTCGCAGGCTGTCCAAATTTCTCGAGGTTAATGTAAAAATGATCGCGGCGGCCGCGCGGTGGTCATGCGGCACATCACGACTTGTTCATCGCCGTTGGCTTTGTATATAAAACGCACTGAGGCCATAAATTATTATTTAGCCACATCGGTTGCGAAGCATACATACAAATATGATTATATTATATTATAAGCGCGGCATAATGTGGAGCGGGTGGGGGGCGGAGGGGATGAGCCCGCAGGCGTCGCGGTGCTGCTCGCTCGCCGGCAGCGTTCGGCGCCGACGATATTAAAGCACACCTATTCGTAGCTCTGCTTTTGATACCTCAGGCCATTTTACTCGAGGCGCTCATCTGCAGAACAATCATTTCGAAAATTATTTTGAAACTGCCTGGAGCCTTCGAGACTGAGTCATTGAGCTATCGACTTACCGCCGCCTACGGTCGCGCTTCTAAAGTTCTACGTACCTAGCGACGCGCACGACCCTCCACTGAAATTTAACACAGCGATCTGCCTGAACAGTTTTTAGTTTTCACTCATGAAGAGGAACAGATGATTTTATTATTTGTTTACTTTTTGTAGGCACACTTCAACCACACTTAATGGATTGCAATATAATACGTACCTACTACGTTGAAATAAAAGCTTCCAAAAAAGCGCTTCGTCGATTGTGAACAGTATATCTATTTCATTTTGCACCATATTGATACGAATTGCAGATCATTATTTGCTTTCAAATCATTTCCGGTTTGTTTGTGGTGGTTGTTTATGTAACATTGTGCAAAATTACTTAGTATAACAAAAATTAATTAAATTGGATATATGTTTGTATTTCCGATGGCAATAATTAATAAAATAAATATTAGATATATGATAAAAGGTATGGAATTAGATAATGGTACAGTTATAATTAAGGTGGTACATAAATTAGGTCGATATTTAACAGAATCTATGAATTTGTAAGGAATCAGAACAAACTAAAACATTTGACAGAAAATAAAACTATGTTTAAAAAACCGACGTCAAAAACCACAAACTAAAAACCAAAAAAATATTATTATTCATTGTACTCAGTACCTACCTAGTCCTACCTACAACACCAGCTGTATGTTAAGAGGTCGCGGCCCCAAGTCCTAAACAAAACTATTTATGAAAACTTAGGTAGGTGTAGGTATCTCTTATGAGTATTGGTACATAATATTTCGTTATGGGCTTGGGGCACCGACTTCTAAGAACAAAAAAGTATAACGCAAATCGGATAACAAATACTTAAGTTATTGACGTACAAATGTACGAAATATCGTGAAAATAACATCGTTCGGGTAACTATAATGATCATAATATAAAAACTACTGAAACAAACTGAATCAATTTTATATTGGACCAAATGGTAGCTAATACACGTCGAACAAAAAAAAATATCACGGTAATCGGTCCACAGACCACGGCGTAACCTAACGGGTTACCGGGGGCTCCGGCTCGACGTGCAGGAGAAGGAACGGGGTGGTTTTTAGTCAGTAAGAGCAGACATTCGATGATTTTCCCCTCTTAAAAAAAACCACGGCTTAATCGATGTACTACATAAACATAAAAGATACCGGCCGAATTGAGAAGCTCCTCCTTTTTGAGAAGTCTGTTGAAAACAGAAATCGAAGTACCTGCAGCACAAAGTACCAAATGTTTATTTAAACTGGAAGACCGTACAGAGACTGAAATAAAGAGCTATGCCAAGACGATTTGAGAAATTTAAAAATACATTAATAAATGGGGCATTAGAAGACAACAATAATAATATGAAATTTACATCGACGACAATGTCGACACTTGCAACGCCAGGTTAAGCTTATGCTACGCTAATGTCTTACTCCTTAAAAACGTACCTACTTATAACCTGAATTTTGAACTGTAGCCTTCGTCCTTGACAATCCCACCGCAATCAAGGCAAGCTCTAACGGATGCGGTGGTAGATACCAGAAAAGAGGTAAAGATCAGCTCATTGTCGGGCCATTGAATCGACCCGACCTACAAATGAATAACAAAATCGTTTATATTGTGTCTCATATTTGAACACAGGTTCTGATCCTACTCTATTACAGAACGTGTACCTATTTGATGTGAATCTATGCACTGTTTTACTACATGCTCGATGATTTTCTACAGTTAAGTATACTTTTTTCAATAAAACTTAAGCCAGTGGTGTATCTAGGTACATATACCTAACCCAACCAAGTTTTTGTTCAAAATAAATCCAAAATTAGGAAAAAGTTCGTAAGACATAGCCGTAGGGTTAGTAATACAATACAATATTTATAGGCACACAGCTCGAGGCTACCCTTCAAGTAAGCAGACAGCAATCAATAAACTATAGGTATTCGTTGTTCCCATTACGGGCCTGGAGGGTAGAAACAGCCCTGAGTCTATGAACTTAAGGAAACGTCTCAGGCAGGTGCCCCCAAAACGAATAAACGCCATTGTATTGTGATTGTCGTGTGAAATGCGTGGTAGTCACTCAGTTAAGTGATGAGTAATCTTTGAAGTACCACAAAAGCATATTTAATTGTACACTATATGTATAGGTAAACTTAACATACATACATAACATCAAGCCTGCCTCGTTGGCCGAGTGTCTCGGGTGTCGAGAGTCGAGAGTCTCGGGTTCGATTCCCGGGTCGGGCAAAGTATTACTGGGTTTTAAAAAAAATCTCAGTAGTAGCACGGGGTCTGGAATCATGCCCGGTATATGGCAATAGGCTCACCCCCTATTACATGGGACTCATAACATAAATAGTGAAAAGTTGGTGTTACATTGTACAGCGGCATAATGTGCACCTCTGCCTACCCCTTCGGGGATAAAAGGCGTGATGTTATGTTATGTTATAACATCAAGCCTGTGTCCCATTGAGGTAGGCAGAGACTATGGAACGCCAATTGCTACGATTTCTGCTTACCTCTTTCGCTTCACCAATAGTCATCAATCTTGTCAAGCATGCTCGTCGGTTAAGGGTACTTTTAATTTGGCCCTTATTTAATATATCGCCAATCTGGTCAGTATATGTTTGTCTAGGGCGCCCTCTACCGACGGCCCCATTTATATCCGCTCTGTATACTTCTTTCGTTACTCTACTTTCATCCATCCTTTCTACATGTCCAAACCAGCGTAATATTCCCTTTTCAATCCTTATCACTACATCATCTTTGAATCCACACCTTTCTCTAATAATACTATTCTTCACTCGGTCACTCAATTTTACTCCACACATACTTCTCAGGGCTTTCATTTCCACCGCATTAATCCTAAAAAGGTAAAAATAAAAATTAACTTAAAAACAAAAATATAATTATGTCAAATCCATATAATAATTATGTTCTGAAAAGTTTTATAGAATTTACCAAAAATGACTCTAAATTCACACAATCCTAAGAAACGATACACCTACAGGCGTTTTCGAAACGTCAAAATAGAATTGCGCGTCAGTTGTGCAGCTATCTTGTTCGTACCGTAGACCAAGATCCACTATTTAGGCATGGCTGGACGATGGTTTTACCACTTAGTGCGTTAGCTGCAGTTTACTGCCTGGACGAGTGATCCTAGGTTTTACGCCACGGGCTAAAGTCCGACGTCAACCGAGGAACGCATACCTCTTCGGTACGAGACTTAAATGCTTTACCCTAAAATCCTTACTAATATTATAAATCTGAAAGTGAGTTTGTTTGTTTGTTCGTTTGTTCCACCTTCACGCCGTAACTACTCAACCGATTGCTTTGAATTTTTGCAGACGTAAATTTAGAAGTCCGGATTAAATAATAGGGTACTTTTTAACCCGGAAAAAATTGATATTCCCGAGGAAAAACAAAAGTATTGGTATAGATGGCGCTGTATGTATTGGTATATGTCACATAAGCTACTTTTTATTATTTTGTGACGCGAGCGAAGCCGCGGGTAAAAGCTAGTTGAGAATAAATCAAAACATACACTACGCTTTACACTTTCAACAGGCATGTTTTTTCAATGAAATACGTAAAATATCGTTTCTTTTTCCTTTACAGGTAGGTAATCAACTAGGTCGTTCTTGTATTTGTAAGAGTAAATGGTATTGCTCTGTCCAATTAAACTGATGAACGGAAAAATTTATCCCCTTTAAAATTATTTGAAAGAATCTGTTGTTAATAAATAAAATACAAACAACACTCACAAGCCTTTTGATACCAAAAATGACGCAAAAATAATTATTTTTTATCATTGCACTTTTTTCATTTATAGATGTAACGGCTTTGGACAAAGCGTTTGATGCCTGGAGGTTGGTAGTGATGGCTGTGTACCAAAAGCCTGTAGGGTACAACCATGTACCCACGCCTATCGGTGCAACAAGGACATAGGCCGCCGGCTACGGCCCGACCCCTGCAATGCATTAAAAGCCACCAATGTACGGAGCAGTGTGACAGACACAGCTACTTGATAACTTACTATCCTTCAGAATACACTGGAAGCCTGGCACTTTGATCAAACGGCTTCTCGGTACAACATTTGCTTAAGGTGGTTGCATAGATTTTGTAGCCATATACCAATTGTCACTGCTTCTAATACAGCAAGAAGTTACTGATCTTAAAGAGAAGTTTGTAGTTGAACCAAACATACAATAATGTTCTCACCAACCACATAATGTTGACGAGTAGCTACAGGTAGGTGGCTGTGAAGATCCAACATGAAATACTATACTTAAGTAATTAAGTCGTCGATCTCACAACACAATAGGTTCATCTGGGAATTATACCTATACCTCTACACTAAATGCCTGCAAATCACAATGTCACATATAACATGATTCAACGACATTGATTGAAAATTGATACGTGTCAACAAAATCCAACACAAAATTTAGAACTGGCGACCGATATAGGATTCGTCGTGCAGTTAACTGAGGGAAATGTAATTATGTGATACGCTGCGTTCTAGCGGCGAGGCGGCGGCTAGTCTGCGGCGTAATCGTTGCGTATGTACCGCTATCGAAAGTTAAGGCGTCGTTCATAGCAAACATATTTTCGGCCGCTAACTGTGGGCGCGCCATACTTAGTTTATCGCTTTTTCATATATGTATATTTACCATCTCGTTCCCACTGAACCGACTGACTATATGCTATTAAGTAGTGAGGTCGACAGTGAGCATAGGTACTCATAATGTAATCGGCGACAGACAACACGTTTGGTGTGAACGATGCCTAAGTCAGTGATTTGCGCTCGAGTTGTTTTGATACGTTTATTTTATAGGGTAGCCGCTTAGAATTGGTTTAAGTTTAGGTCTGAAACTGACTGCCAAAAATAGGAGGTAGGTAGGTACTCGAAAATCTCAGTGTAGTTGTATGTACATTTCGAAGATATTCCCACATTTTTGTAGTCAATTTTTAATCTAAACATAAATGGAAACATTATTATTACTGATTATTGTCAGATTTTATCCACAGATGCAGGACCAGAGAAATATTAAAAAAAACAATAAAGGTACTATAGCACAAGACACTCACTTGAAAGTAACATCATCGTTTCCTATACTGGAATTAAGAAGAATACTGAGTCCCTGAATACTGAACTCCTTTTAGAGTAGTTAGTATTGTATTGCTTATTCATGTAAAGATATACCCACAGAAATATTAAATCTTTACTGTATCTCTGGATCTACTTAAATTTATAAATTCCAAATTAAATCCTTTAATAAATATTCTTCTGTCGTGCGAGAAGTAGTAAACCACAGAAACTTTAACAAAAAGCAACATAGCAACGTCGTGGTGGCCCGGAGGTTGACGACCGCTTCTCATGCATGGGGGTGCGGGTTCGTAACCTACCAACGGCAAGTATTTTCTTTGAGGGGGAAAATCATCGAATGACTGCTCCCGCCTGGGTGAGGTGGGAAAGAGTGAGTCTTACTGACAAAAACCACCCCGTTCCTTCTCCTGCACGTCGAGCCGGAGCCCCGGTAACCCGTTAGGTTCTCCGCGACAACGGCAAGTACTAATGTGTAATTTTTCGAGTTTTATGTACTCTTTAACTTTATTTAGATACCACTGACAAACGGTGAAGGATAACATAGCGAGGAAACCTGGACTTACAATTTCTAATTGTAAGTTTGAAATGAGCAAGCATGGTGATTAATGCTCAAACCTTCTTCGTGTGAGAAGAGGCTTTGCTCAACAGTGGGCATTTATAAATAGGCTGTTGATGGTGATGATAGACTTAGCAACTTCATAATATTATGAAGAGATTATGGTCCTTTAGGGACCACCCACTGCTGAATATAGGCCATATTCAGCAGTGGGCGGTTGATAATTATTATCATTGATATACATAGATCTGTGTAATTAATAACAACGAGAGAGTGCAAATTTACAATGGCATATCGCGAAACTATTTTTCTGATTGTATTCGATCGTGCACGACGTACAGGACATCCATGGCGTAATCACTTTTTTACTTAGGTTTATTCAGGTTACTTAATTATAAGTCAACACACGTAGTATTAATATTATTACTATGCTGTTTGTATCTCTAATGGTATTGTGAAAATAGTCTCATATTCCAATTTATTTTTAATAAGATATGTAATGTGTGTCTACCTATTATATGTGGGATTTAAATATCGATCTAGGAAAAGAATAAAAGGGCTAAGGTCCGATTTGTCCAACGCCAGATCAATTTTATCAGAGGAATAGCTTTGAATATTTGACAATTCTTTCATACTAATACTACTAACTCTAGCAACCTTTTTGCAGCTTACCACCTATCACATACATTTCTGCACTGCCCAAAGGATGGCTGGTAGAGAATGCAGTTGGCATTAAGTCTTCCTTATGCAATTGTATAAAACTTAAATAAATAAATAAAAACGTCAATTTTATTCTACCGTTAAGAATTGTACTGTTGATTGAAAAATCAGCCATAAAAGGTACAAAAATATATTTTGAGTTGTGTTTTAAAGTACTTAGTTATTAGCAACTGGTTTCTAAAATAGACAATATTATCATCATCTTACGGGTATATTTGATTTGCCATAATCTCTACTATAGTCTACAGGCTCATTGGGGACCGCATATTAAAAGTTTCAGTTCTTTCAAAGAGCACTGCCAGCTATCGGCTTTTTCCGCGGGAAGATTATGGATGACTTGGTGACAAAGTAGATATGTAGGTACTATTAATCCCTAGACAATTAGTAAGTTATATCTCTTTATTATAGCATAAACCGGTAAACGAGCAGACGGGTCACCTGATAGACACCTGAAACACCAGAGGCGTTACAAATGAGTTACCGGCCTTTTGGGGATTAAGATTTGAGGATTGTTGAGGATTCAGGGATTGGAGAGATTAGAGAGGGTAATTGGGCCTCTGGTTACCTCACCCACACGACGAAACAAAACGCAAAACAACCCACACTTGCGGTTGGTTCTTATGAAAGATAGTTCGTACACTTTTGAACAGTTTTCTCTAGCACTAACTGACACAACTAATTCTTTTGTATATATTTTACTGTCGATATTAAAAATTGATATGGTTCAAACTCTTTAAATCAATATATTTTTATTCTCATTCGCCATCACAATACTGATGTTGTAAGCTTTTTATGTTCCATTTTTTAAATTGGTACCGGTATTGGTATTTTTATAACGTCTTATATAAAAAAATCTAAACATTCTATGTCACAGAATAGGTTTTGAACTCACTATAATGCTATTATGCATTAATAGGAGTACCCGAACGGGAGATAGGGACTCGTTTCCTGGGCGGAACAATGTTTTGTGTCATCCACACCTGCATGGAAGTCTCGTCTACTGTGCAAGTAGGTATTGTGTGAGTATATAATTATTAAAACGTCTTTCTATGCAATTCGTTATTATCGTCAGCTACAAGACGGCTCTACGTAGGTACGTAGGTCACCTCCAACGATTTCTATGTGATAGGATAAAATAGTAAAAAAGTAAGGCTTTCCAAATAAATAGCAAAACAGGTAGTAAAGGTAATTTGTACTTAAGTACCTAACTTAAGTTCCCGCCTACCAATTTGGCGCGCTTTATTTCTTCAGATTCACCTTTATATGTTTTATTAAAACATTAATTGGAATGGAGCTACTATTAAAATATTTTTCTATCTGTCTATCTTTTAGTTCGCTAAAAATAAAAACGTCGAAATCCCTACATATCTAAAACAGGATTTTATATAAAAAATAAAATTTCAATGTAAAGCTCGGTGTATTTTGATATATTTCTTTTTTAACCGACTTCAAAAAAGGAGGAG